GACCTTACTGGCTTCCTTTAAGTCCTAAAATCCTACCTTCTAGATGGAAGCCTTTCCCAACCTCTCTAAATTCCACTGTCTTCCCTCTGTTAATGATTCCTATTTACCCTGTATTATAGCTTGCCTTGTATACATTTGTTTACCTGCTGTATCCCACATTAGACTGTAAACTCCTTGAGGGTTTTTGCCTCTTTTTTTATCCCCAGCACTGAGCACAGTGTCTGTGTATATAGTACATACATACATGCAATAGGTGCTTAATAAATGTTGATTGAGCATCTCTCCCTCCATACCTATTTTTCTTCCCTTGTTTCTGCTGATGGCACTGCCCAGTAACACAAGACTTCCATCTCTCATCTGTGACTCTTCCCTCTCTCTTGCTTTTTCCCTCCCCCCTCCCCAATCAGATTCCAAATCCTGTCAACTCTACCTTCCACAGTATCTCTCACACTCACCCTCTCCTCTCCATTCACAAACCCACCCCTGTACTCACTCGTGCCCTTATCACTCCTCTCCTAGACTGCTCTTGCCAGCCTCTCAGTATCCAGTCTCCCCTCTTCAATCCATTTTGGGCATATCGCCAATAATACCGTTTAATGCACAGACAGCACTAATCACACCACAGCCCTACTCAAAAGCCTCCAACAGCTCTCCCTGGGTCTACATATCAGGTCCAAACTCATTATCCTGGCATTTGAAGCCTTCTCCAAGACAGAACTATGATAGAGTGGAGAGATCATTGGACTTAGACTAAGGACCTGGGTTTGAAGCCTGGCTGTTTTCTTCTGGGGTGACCATGTAATTCACTTTCCATCTCTGAACCTGTTCTCTCACATGTCACACTGAGGGGGAAGGGGGTGGATTAGTTCTAAGGGCCCTTACAGCTCTAAATCCTAGGATCTTGACTTTTGTTGTCTTATCACACATTGCTCCTTTTCATAAGCTCCATTCAAATGTGACTTCTCTACTTTTCAAATACATCCAGTGCTTTCTATCTCTGAAGTTCATGCCATTTCCCAGGAATGGAAAACCCCCTACTTCTAACTCTATCTGCTGAAATTCTAGCCATCTCTCAAAGGCTGATTTATCTGTAAAATGAGGGTTTTAGACTAGAGGATCTTTAAGATAACTCCTAGGTTTAAATGGATCATATGATCAGTTAGAGTGGGAAAGAATCTTAACCAACATGCTCTATAGCTGAGGAAACTGAAGTCCAGGTTAGGTGAAGTGACTTACCCAGGATCATACAAGCAGATCTGGGATTAGAACCCAGGCTCTGATTCCAAAACCAGTACTCTACTCTTTTCACTACACCACCCAATGCTATGATCCTAGGAAAAAAAGAATAGAAATAGAGTAGCAAAAGCAGCACTATTATGCTAAGTACAAATATCTTTCATAAAAGTTTCCCAATCAAGTGATGGGGGTTGTGTTCTTCCTAAGGATAGACTCAAAACACATCCTTAATTCATAGTGGGGTGGAGCGAGTGGGAGGAAAGTAACATGGAATAAAGAAAAAACCAACAATCTTCTAATTTGCAGCAACTTCTTATACAAAGCAAGACTTTCTGTACGATACACTTCTCAGAAAATCCTTAGTTACAGTCAAAACCCATCTGGAGTACTGCATACAGTTTGGGGACTAAATTTTAGGAAGAGCCATGAGAAGATGGGGAATGTCCAGAGGATAACCAGGTTAGGAAGTACAGGGGCTGTGAAACTGTAAGATTCAGTTGAAGGAAAAGAGAATGCTAAATCTACAAAGAATGATACGAATAAAATTGCTGTTTTCAACTAGCTAGAGGGCTGCTATGGGGGGCAAGAAGAGCAGAGATTTGTTCTGTACAACACAGAGGGCAGAATTAGGAACAATGTGGGGGCAGGGAGGTGAGGTGAGGTGATAGGGAAACATAGTTCTGCTCCATATAAGGAAAAGCTTCCTAATAATCAGGGATGTCCAAATATGGAAGGGGTTGCTTCAGGAAGTAGTAAGCTCCCCTTCAGTAGATGTGGTCGAGGAAGGCTGAATGATCACTTGTTGGGATGTTACTGAGAGGACTGATCCATTGGATAGGAAGTTGGATGAAATACCCTCTGAGATCCTCTCTGATCTCGGATTCTATGAGAAACATGAGACTACACAGTAAAAAATGATAAATCAACACAAATATGTACTCAACTCAAAAAAAGGGGGGGAGGGAATCTGAGTTTTGAATTGTAAGGAAAAAAAATAGAAAAGCCAAACTCAAGGCAAAGTTTAACCAGAAACACTTTTATGACTTAAGCAACTGTCTGTCCATTTATAGGTTAGTACTAAAAATAACCTAGTTACTTCCTTTTCCTTAGCCTTGAAAAGGGGAAGAAACTACTTGGTTAAGTCACCTAGAGGATGACCTTAGAGAAGTGGGTAGAGGGCACAACATAGGACAAACACTATTTCTGAATTTCAATTTTGACATAATCTACCGCTTGTGAGAACTGAATAAGATAATGTACGTAAAGAACCTCATGCAGAAAAAGTACTATATAAATGTAATATATATGTATATGTGTGCATAAATGGATACATACATATATACACACATATATGTGTATGTATGGGTATGGACCCTTGATTTCATTAGAAAAGAAATTCCAAATGTGCAAACTCCTTTCCCCGATGGAGATATTCAACTTTTTTCTAATTTATAGTCTTAGTTACCTGAGGTCCTGAGAATATAAATGACTTGTCATTGGTCACATAGCTAGTTAAGTATAACTGAGGCAGGATTTGAATACACTCCTGACTCCAAGTCCAGCATTCCAATCCCTACTCCACAATACTCCTTTAACAGCATGGAGAAGTAAAAAACCCTGGACTGGGAGTCAGAAAACTTGAATTTTGGTTCTAACTTTGTCACTGACTCTAATGACTATAACTTTGGGCAAGGGGTTCCGTATCTATGAGGTAAAGGGAGTTTCCAAAGTCACAGAATTTCGGGATTGGAATGCACCTTAGTGGCCGTCTAGTATAACCTATGCATGAAAATAAATCTCTTCTATAACACCCAGACAAGTGATCATCCAATCTTTGATTAAAGACTTTCAGCAAGGAGGAATCTGCTACTTCTTAAGGAGCCCATTCCACTTTGGGACAACTGTAATTGTTAGCAAGTTTTCTCCTACATGGAGCCTAAAAATGATATTGCAATTTCTATTGACTATTCTTTGTTTTAGGGGCAGTAGGTGGCACAACAGATAGAGTGCGGGATCTGGAGTCAGGAAAACTCAACTTCGTGAGTTCAAATCTGATCTCAGATACCAGCTATGTGACCCTGGGCAGGTCACTTAACCCTGTTTGCCTCTGTTTTCTCATCTATAAAATGATCTGGAAAAGGAAATGGCAGGGGCAGCTAGGTGGCACAGTGGATAGAACACCAGCACTGGAGTAAGGAGGACCTGAGTTCAAATCCAGCCTCAGGCACATGATACTCACTAGCTGTGTGACTCTAGGCAAGTCACTCAATCCTGATTGCCTCACCAAAAAAAAAAAAAAAAAAAAGGAAATGGCAAACCACTCCAGTATCTCTGCCAAGAAAACCCTAAATGGGGTCATACAGAATCAAAAACGACTTAACAAAAATAAGATAACTCTTTGTTTTGCCTTCTGAGACCAAAGAGAGCAAATCTAATCCCTCTTCTATATGACTGCCTTTCAAGAAAGTCTCATGTCTCCCCTAACCCCAGCCTTCTCCTTCTCCAGGCTAAAGATCCCCATTTCCTTCGGCCAATACTTATATGGCATAGACTTGAAGCTCTTCACCTTCCTGGTTACCCTCTGGCTTATCTATGCCTTTCCACAAATGTGGTGCCAGGAACTTGAACACAGTGCTCTATATACGGTCTTACCAGGGTAAAGAACAACAGGACTGTCCCCCAGAGTCCAAAGTTACATAAGCTCTCTTGGATATCACATCACACTAGGGACTCATCATCTCATATTTATGAAACTGACTTCATAGCTGTAAAACTTTACATTGATCCTTACTAAATTTCATCTTCAATTCAGTCAAATGTCTGAGTCTGTCAATATTTTCTTAGATAATGTCCGAGGTTAGCCTTTGTGCTAGTATCATCATCTGAAAACCTGAGAAGTATGCTATCCACACCTTTACTCTTTTCCATGGTCTTGATAAAAATACCAAACATATTCCTTTCAGCATTAACATTAGGTGTTCTAAGGTCCCTTCTAGCTCTGATAATCCATATCCTAAGGTCTCTTCAAGTTTTAAGGTTCTATGATTCTAATTTGACAATATCAGTATTAAAAAATAGAAAATCTGGCCCACAGCAGGTCCATTTGGCACAACAATTCAAAATCTATTAAGGCTAAACTCTAAGTAGGAGATAATGTTAGAGTATATTAATTCTTTAGAACACTATGATGTTGCCTATAATTAAGATCTAAACATGGCATAGTCTCAGAAAGAGCCCTGGATTGGTACTCAGAAGACCTAAATTCTTTTTCCACTTATTAGAATCAGAGTTTCAAAGACTTTTATGACTAGTGTCAACACATTTAAATGATATACAATAGCTCCATCTATAGGTTACTAAGTCAAATTATTACTTAATTAGAAATAGCTACAATCACTAAAAAACCAACAAAACAGTACATCTTCTGAATTCTTGTATTTGAATCCTCAGTGTTCCTTTAGTTGGAATTTATTAACTACAATATCACAGTTTAAAAAAAATGTAGACGCGAAAATTAGGAGACTGCTGATGAATTCTACTTACAGTACTTCAGCACCAAAAAATTGGGCAGTTATGCTGATACATGTATATACAGGTCAACAATGTGTCAAAGTCTTAAAATGCTTATTTATAGTGAAATCTATATAAAACCATTAAAAACTTATTTTATTTACATTATTTTAAAAAACGAAAAGTACTGTTTCCTTTTCCACAACTTGTCAAAACTGACTCTCTAACCCTCCAGTCCATTTCCCTCCCCCCCACCCCCTTTCTATCTGTGACATACAGTGATCACAAGACCCAAACATATTGCTTGAATAGACTGTGCCCTAAGAAGGTAGAACACCTTTAAAACATAGTAAGCTTAGAATAGCAACTGAACATTTGTACATTCACAAGGGGGTAGACAACAACATGAAAGAGGCGAGTGTGTGAGTATACATATGTATGTGTGTTTTCCCAAAGCCTTAGTTCAATATAAATGTGCAATTTCACAGTAAGAACTCATCCTGTAAATAATTATGATTTTTCCTAATTTGAACGAACATTTTCTTTAGGCTCAAGAAGTTTCTTTCCCTCTACATCACAGTGAAACATTCTCTCAGGTGTCTTCAAAAAATGTGTTCCTAGTTAAAAGGGGCAAGGCCTGTTTTGAAATCTTTACATTTAAACAGAAAGTGAATAGTGCTGCCTTCGGCTTTAAGAATATTGTTTTGTAAATAAATTAGCATACAACTTGTGAAAGTACACAAGCCTCAAAGACAGGCACCAAATCCACATGTGACCAACAGTGAACAACTGAACCTCTTTTAAGGATCCCAAAAGAACTTTAGTGCTAATGTTTTTCTAAGTTTTTTAGTAATTCAATATGAATTGGGCCAAGTGCAAAATCGTCACCAGCTCAACATTTCCTGGGGCTTTGCAAAAAAAGAGGGAGAGAGAGAGAGAGAGAGAGAAAGAGAGAAATAGAGATAGAGAGAGAGAGAGAGAGAGAGAGAGAGAGAGATTTAAAACTGTCCCTGGTGTGCTTTTCCAAAAACACAATGTCCATTCACAGTCCTTTCCAATGGTGTTTTGTTTAGCAGATGCCAACTGAGAAGCAAAAACAGGAAAAGTCTCTCTTCACTGCTGGACAAAGTTTTGTATCTGGTTATAGTCCAAGAGAAGTTCAGACATCAGGACTCAAGTTGTTGCAGATTTGAATTTTTTTTCCTTTTCCTTTCCTTTTCTTTTTTTATTTTCTTTTATTCTTTTTTTTTAAAAAAAGACATTCCACCCTTGTGAGATTCAACTCAAGTTTTACAATGGTGCTTTGGCAGCAACATCTTGGTGAAATGCACCTGTCATTTCAGAATCCACGGCATAACTAACTGCAAAGTGCTCTCTATACATCAAAATACAAGGGATTCCCACCTGGGAAGGGTACCCAGCAGGTTTTAAAGTGCACTCTGGTGTCCAAAACACTAGGACCGTTCGGCTGAATTCTGGGAAGGGCTGGGTTCTGTCCCCTCCTCTGTGCTGCTATCCAAGTCCTGCTCCAGTACCGTCTCGTCTTCATCCAGCTGTTGACTAGTGAAGTTATTGAGTTCAAGAAACCCACTGGGCTCTACCACCACATTGGAGCTGGAGTGACAAGGAATGGAATACTGAGGGATGGTCTGTAACAGAAGACACACATGACAAGATTTTAACCTCTGCAATAGCCCAGGGGGTGGGGTGGGGTGGGGTGGGGTAGGGGTCTCGAATGGTAAAGACTAAAGAGATGGTGGCCTCAATAGGAGACCAGCATGGAGGTTGGATGATGAATGTTTTTCAGAGGCATTTTCTAGAGGTTATTAATCAAGGCAGCATGGTATGGCAGAAAAGGCATAAGACTAGAAGACAGGAAAGAGCTGGAGATCCAGTTCTGACCTTACAATCACAGAATCTTAGAGCTGGAGGTGACTTTGGAGATTATCTAGTCTGATGGTCTCATTCTACAGATGAAGATGAAGAACCACCTATCATATAGTGAGATGATGGCAGAGATATACTAGATTAGATGTTCTCCAAGATCCCTTCCAGGACCAAAATTATATTTCATACTTTATATATGTGTATGTGTTATGTTATGAGCATCAATCAAATCTTAAAACTGAGGCCAGGGTTACTGTGTTCAACTAAAGAACTATGTGTAAATAATCTTTAAAAAATACTACTATAATAGCACTTACACTAAGACATACTGCCTTAGCTGACTCTTGTAGCTCATATTTATTGATAAGGGTGAAAAACAACAGTTGTTTAAAGTCAAAAAGCCAAACCTGAAATATGCAGACTGCTATTGTGAGGAGCCAGAGACAATTCATGATATAAGAAATTATATATTAGATACAAGTGAATTATGTATTAGATCATATTCTGATGGCAACTCAACATACTCAAGTGCTGGTTCTGCTTTATTTTATCATTCTCTGTGGCCAAAGACACTGGAAAAAGTCTAGTGCTGGAGAATTATCACCTGCCTGGAAGTCAGGTTACCTTACTAACTCAATGCAGGAACTTACAAGGGCTAACCCGTTCTCTCAGGGTCTCAGTTATTCCATATATAAAATGAGGTGATTGTACTAGCTATAGAATGCCCTTTAAAGTTCCAAACTATTATTTATGTTCAGACTGCCTACATATTCATAATTTGGCAACAAGCCCTTTTAAACTTATTAAAATGCTGTTCCTCCTAAATATGTAGTAATACCACATATTGTCTAAGTAGCACTTTCAAATGAGATAATATATGTAAAGCATTTTGCAAACCTTAGAATACTATAAAAATACTAGCTATTATTATTATTCGCTTAGAGAAAGCAAAGTGCTTTTATAAATATCATTCATTAATCCTCAAGGACCTTTTACTGAATTCTAAATTGGTGATTCTACTGCTTAACAGAGAATATAAGTATATGCCACCACTATCCCTGTGAAAACGGAAGCCAATTCATGGACTGGTTGTTAAGAGTTGAAAGGGACCTCAGAGATCACCTAGTTAAATCCACTCATTTTAAAGGTGAACAGACAGAGGAGCCAAGTGGGGAAGGGACTTGTCCAGTATGAGCAGCAGGGCAGAAGCAGTGCCAGAACTAAAGCCTAAGTCTCAACTAGTCCTCTTTCTGCTACATAAAGCTTCTTAAACACCTGCTATTACAAAGCAGAACAAACAGTGTGGACGATTCAAATCACTTTTATTTAGTTTTAGAATAAATTTTGAGTCTTGTTTTTCCCCGTGGTCCATGTATCCACTTAGTTTCATTTTTCTTGAGCTAACATTAATTAGTATTCTCACAAATGCTGGTGGGCAGGAGGGCACAGACCAGAAGAACAGTAAGGAACAGGGGAAGGATTGAAATTACAACATCATCAAAGAGCGAGTCATCAGAGTGAGTGACTATGGCTCACTTTACTCTAAAACCTTAATTAACCAGAATCCATTTAACGCAATCTTTGACTGAGACACTCCCAGACTCTTACCTACTCCATGCCCTCTGAGAGCAATGGTTTTGGAGTCAGAGGACGTGGATTCAAATATCAGCTCTGCCACTTGCTGACTGGCTTCCCCTTTCTGAGACTTCATGAGTTTTCTCATTTGTAAAATGATCATTAAGGTCTCTTTCAATCTTAAATCCAATGAACCAATGCACCCTTGGTGTTCCAGTTTAAGAACCAGAAAGTTGCAAATCAAAAGAAAACAAACGGTAACCTCAAGAATTCAAATCGCTTCCTCCCATCCCCACCTATACACTCACCCCTACACACACACACACATTTTCTCTCATACACACACACCCCTGTACATCTTCAGTCATTTCTATTTCTCCTAAATCTGCAATCATTGTACAATGACAAGTGACGTCTGAAGCAAAGAAACAAAGAAACTGCAAGATTGCCATCCAAGAATAATACTCATTAGCCTGTGTTTACCAGGGCAAGAAATAGAATGAGGACACATTGGAAGTTAATCCAACAATGAGAACGGAAACAAAAATATTTTGTGGCTAGCCCTAGGTATAACAGAAAGTTATATGAGTTAAAACTGGGGTCCAATCAAAGGAGGTAGGCCAGAATGGGGAGGGGACTTAAAATCATCTCACGTGAGAAACAGCTAAAGGAACGGGGGGATTCGTTAGAAGACAACCTGGAGGCAGCAAAGGAGATAACATAACAGCTGTCTTTCCATGTCTGCAGGATGTCCTAGGGCAGAGCAGACACATTCTGGTAAGAGCCAGAGGGCAAACTATGAGCAAGAAAAAGCCATACCAGGGAAGGGGTTTCTAGCTCCAGAAAGGAAGGAACATTCTAATGACAGCAGCTAGCCAAAAAAGAATTGGCTACCTTCAGAGGCAGCGTCTCGTCACAGATCATATCACAGGAAGCATCTAGTCCTTCATCATTGAAAGCGGTCACACTAAAGTTAAAGGATCAACAGTCAAGGAAATTGCATAAGAACATCCATGCAGTGGTAAAGGATTAGACTAGATAAGCCCTGAGGTAGTTTCTGGTTCTGGGATTCTAGAATCCTACTCATCCATTCTCTAAATCAGTTAAATGAGATTTTTGCTGCATAATGAAATGTAAAATGGCCAAGAATTACAGTAGTGGTTCAAGTAGGGAGCTACTTGAAAAATGCATATAATTTAGCTCTCATGAAAAAGAATTGGGGGACCACCTAAAAGGGTCCTAGAGACCAGGGCTCTTTTGGCTGATGTTAGTGTCAACTTGCTGAAATGACAGCAGACAAGTGTGGTGGCTGAGTGTCTAATCATATAAAACAGAGTCCTGAACTCCCAAGAGTACTGTGGGAATTAGGCAACAGCTACAAATATTACTGATCCTCTTCAAAGAAAGAGAGTTTATAACTATAACTAAATGATGCCATCTTCACTGTCATCCTAAAAACCAAATTCATCCCATAATTTTTAAAAAAAAAACACCTCTTTTCTCCTTGCTGTCATGGATTTAAAAGGTAGCTCTGTAACTTCCTACCACACATGCACAACCATTCTTCCAACATTCCCAGACTTTCTCATTTTCCTGCCAACTCTTACCTGGATAATAATTTCTGCAGGGCTCTCTTCAGCTTTCTTTTGGCCTATATTCTGAATACGTATGAATTGGCCTGTTGTGGGTACTCCTGGTGCTTCAATTTTCCGTGTTAAAGATGGACCAACAGTAGAAGGACTTGAACAGGACTCTCTACATTTCTGTTGCTGAGGAGTGGAAGTCGCCAGCCCTACTGCCACCACCTGGGTAGAGGGTGACGAGTCTGCTTCACCAGGGAGTTTATTAGTGGCAATAGCTTTGTTGGGGGAATCCACTACCATATGTTCTACATTTGTGTCAATCTGAGCTTCCATCATAGACATTTTCAAAATGTCTGAGACTGCTGTCTTCTCAGATGCCTGCATGGGAGATATGCCTGTCACTGGCACCGCCAGCTTAGGCACAGAATTGCCACCAGTTATCTTTGTAACAGTGGGAGGCTGCCGCCCCTCAAAGGTTATCTTTGTAACAGAGGATCCTTGAGTTATAACTGGCTGCTCCACCTGAAAATCAAATTGGGGGTTTGTGTGTTACAGCTAGGTCTCTTTGATTTGAACCTAATCAATATCACAAAATGGCAAAATAAACATTTGTGACACTAGGAAGACAGTTTGAAGCTCAGTGTTTTAAATAAGGATAACATTTTTTTTTTTAAAAGGAGGCTGGAGAAGGAAGAAGGGGTTGAAATACCCCTTGGACAGCCAGCCAAGGTTCCTAGCAAGAAAAAGTCATAGCAGCCTCGTTTTCCTTTGGGATTTACACCCCCACATGGAACATTATTGTTCCCTTTGAAAATAATCTCATATATGTTTATATATGTATACGCTTTTGCCTTTTCAAATAAAGGGCATGAGAGTTAATTTATTATTTTGCCTTTTTAAAAAAGATAAATAGATAAAATCATTCCAAAGTCATTGATTTTCCTCAGTCTATTTTTTTGATTGCCCATACATAAGACTGTGTTTCTGTGAAATAGGAGATCAATATAGCTAGATGGTGATGTAAACTACAAAGGAAGACGTACAATGGAGATCCTTAGGAGACTGCAGTATACTCAGCTTTATTGCCACAGAAATAAAAATTTATGGGCACGCAAATGAATAATATTTTATACCTAAAAAAACAAAAATAAAAATAATTAGGGATATGGATGCCATGCACTGTTGGTCAATGTTGAAGTTATTTCATAAAAATTAAAAACAAAAACAAAAAACAAAAACAAAAACTGAAAAAATCAAGTTCTGTGCGCTACCAATTTTTTTTCTTCCTATATTAATGAGTACATTTCTTTCCTACTTCCAACCTCCGAGCAGCACAAGTATTACCAGTGCAATGAGGTTGTGTGTTTTTTTTTTTTCCTCTTGCCAGGAGAAAGCCCCGCTACCATGCTTGGGCCGTGCGTGGTGTTTTCATTTTTTTCTTGAAAGAGCAGGCTAACTTTGCATGCTATCAATATTCTGTTACCTGGCTCGCCGGCTGTTTCTCGGAAGCTGCGGGGAGCTGCAGGGGGCCCTGAGGGGGCGGGGGCTGGGGCTGCACGTAGATTTTTGGCTGATTCGGTGCCTGCTGGAGTTTGGGGAGCTGCTGCTGCTGCTGCTGCTGTGTAGTTTTCACGGCCAGAACTTGTACTACAGTCTGTTGGGGCTGTGCCATGAGCGTGGGCAGCTGTCTTTCTTTGGCCCCTGAGAGATGCTGGGCGTGCTGCACCTCGGCCTTGATCTGTGCTTGCTCTGGCTGAAGCGGGGTGAGCTTTTGGTGTCTGATGGAAAGCTGGGGCATCTGTGGGAGTTTATGCTGGAGCTGATCGGCCTGCAGGTGGATGGTCTGCTTCTGTTTGGTCTGGAAGCACTGAAGGGTTTTCACTTGGAGCTGAGTTGGCTCTAGCGGGGGCTTCTGTGGCTTGGGGGCTTGTGACTGAGTCAAAGCCGATCTGTAAAACAGACCTGTCTGAGGGTCTAAAGTGTCCATCTCTTCCACCTCACCCTCCTCGGTTCCAAGCTCCTCACTGTGTTTGGTAAAAGCTGTATGACTGCTTAATGCCTAGGGGGAAGGGAGAGGAACAAATTAGAAGAAGCAACAACACCAGCATGGCCACTTCTTCAACTTCAAAAGAGCAGAGATTTCATGGTTATGGATGTTTCCTCTGCTGATACAGACAGCAACCCTTCAGAAGCCTTTTGGGCTGTCTTATGAGTTGCTATGGCCAAAAAGATTCATCTTCTGTTGGCCAACCCTCTGGTGAAGAGTGTTCTACACTTGGCTAGGCTTGTTCCTCCAACAACCGACAGAGGATGTCAATGGGCTCATACTCAAAGATTTTCCAGCTTGGTGAGAACCTGCCAGAGCCTGAACACCACTGGCATCATCGCTGAGAGCCCAAGAGCCTCTGCACCCTTTTTAAAGGCACAGAAGAGTCCTTTTGTGCAAGCTGCATTACTATGCAACCTAAAAGCCCTCAAATTAGTGGGTTGAGAGAGTCACTCAAAATTTATCCAAGATTTGAGATCTTCAGAAGTCACAAAATGTTCCCTCAAAAAATGTATGGTTTTAGAAGGAAATTGTCCCAGTTACACCAGAAGAATCATAATTTCTGCTGGGATCAGCCTGTTCTCTTTACTTCAAGGTGCATCCTCTACTGTATTTAGCCGAAATGCATATCTTTTCCAGTGTGAAATTAGGATGCCATATTTTAGAAGGACAGTGACAAGTTAGAGACTGTAGATGATCAGGGTGGTGAGGGAACTAGCAATTATGCCCTGGTATCAGCTGGAGGACCTGGGAACATTTATTATAGAGAAAAGAAAACTAGCAGGGAGGGCATAAGTGTTGTCTTCAAGCATTTTAAGGGTTCTCATGGAGAAAAGGGATTAGATTTGTTCTGTTTGGCCCCAGAGGGCAGAAACAGGAAAAATAAGTAGAAGCTGCAGAGAGATAGATTTAGGATTCAGGTAAGAAAACCTTACAATAATCAGAGCTATTTTTAAGTGTGATGGGTTGCCTCAAGATGTAGTAGATTTCACCATGACTGGAGCCACTCAAGCAGAGGTTCGATACCAACTGGTCAGGGATGTTGTAGAAGGTATTACTATTCAAGCAAGAACTGCGCAACCTCTGAGGCCCCTTCCAACTCTGTGATTTTGTGACTTTTCCTTTCTGAAGCTTCTCCCTCCTCTGCAAAAAGGGAGGGATGGACTAGAGGGTTTCTAAGATCCACTTCACTGACATTAAGCTAGGGATTATATGTTGTTATCACTTTGACAATACAGTTTCAAGTCCAAGGCTTCTTCATTTCTTCTAAGGTAGTTTATTTTCTTTTTCCTTCTCTAGGGTAGCTTATTTGCAATTATGATAAGCTACAGCAGGCGATACTATCATTCTGTGATCCTAACAAGAAGACACCTACCAAGATCTTACATTCGAGTTAGAACAATGGATGCTGCAGTACAGGCCACCAATGCCAGGCAGCACAATGTAGTAGAAAAAGCAATGGATTTCAAATAAGGAAACTTTGATCTGAATGCTTACTAAAAGCCCTTAGACAAACCATTCCCCCTCTTTGAGCCTCAGTTTCCTTATCTGAAAGTAGGGATAATAATTTTTAGAGTACCAACCTCAAGGATCAGATAAAATAAAGAACTTTGCAAACAATAAAGCATCTGTCAATTATTTTCTCAAGAGTTAATTTATCATTCAAATAAAAATGGAATATTTCATCTGAAAAACTTTGACATTTCTAATTACTCCCTCCTTTGCTTGATTTTGAGTCACTTCTTCCCTGATGGTCACCTGACTGAGCTTGACAATGCTTTTTTTATTTAAAAGACTGGGTCTCCCCTATCATGTCCAAGTGAAAAATTCAGCAGCTTATCATGTACCTCATTCCAGCACCAATCAGTACAAGAGCCCTAACCTGCTCCAATGCTGATCTGGGCTGGATCACCTCCCTTTATACAACCACGCAGTCCCTCACTCTTGGGAGCTCATTAGATTGATGCTAGATTTAGTGCAGTGACAAGATTGATCAGCTCAGCTCAGTGCAGCTCAGAACTCCTAAGCCGAAGAGATCCAGCAGCCTCAACTTCCCTGGCAGGTAGCTAGGATGATAGGCACATCCCACCTTTGTGTTATAAGGATTAACTGCCAATTTCAAAAAACCAGCTAGACTATTAGACAAACCAAATGCTATTATGTTTTAGAAATTGACTCACCTCTAAATTCCCTAACAGTAAAATAAATATAAAGTTATCAGTCAAATGTAGGACATCAGAATGGGCTTCATGAAAACAAGCAAGATTTATTGAGACAGCAACAGTGCTTTAAAATACGAGCACTTGTTGCTAGCTGGAGAATGTTCTTAATCTACTAATTATTTTCAGGTATTTATTTTCAGGAAGGTCAACTCTTCCAACATTCCTCCCTTATGAAAAGATTATCATTCTATAAGTTATAGTCATCACTGAATCATTTATACTTTCAAAATAGAATCACAGATGTAGAGACATGGAAGGGTTGTAGGATCACAGATTTAGAGCTGAACGGGATCTCTGAGGTCATCTTGCCCTGTTTCCCCACCTCCTCAATCACAAGTCCCAACAACAACATCCCTGACAAGATGCCTCTGTTTGTCAGCTTCCAGTAACAAGACATTTACTACCCCATGAGTCAGCCTATTCCAATTTTGCACAGCTGTAATTATCAGGAAGTTTTTCCTTACACTGAGTTGCCCTCCAACTTCCACATACTGCTCCTAGTGCTGCTTTCCTGTGCTAAGTAGAGCTAAGTTGATCTGTCTTTCAGAAAACAACTTCTCAGATATATGAAGACAGTGATCATAAAGCAGGATGAAATCTTAAAACAGGGAAGGATTAGTTGTAGATGGTATGGAAGAGAAGGAATAAGGGGGTAGTTACAACCTGCTGCATGATGTGGGTAATGGCGCCTGTAGATGATGCAGGGATGGACTTGACCACCACCGAAGTCTGTGTAGCTGTTTGAGACTGGGCCACATGCTGAAGCAGAGTCCGCTGGGGCTGGGAGGACTGCTGATGGGGCTGGGAACGATGGCTAACTGCAAATACAGTAGGCAATGGTATTTCTTCAGAAATAACCACAGTATCTGAAACCACTTGTAGTTTTAAGCAAATGTACATGAGATTACATGGCAAAGGAAAGAAGGCCCTTAGTGTTCTTAGCCTGGGAGAATAGATGTTTGAATGATCATTCCTCCTTTTCTCCAATGAGGCTTATTCCATTCATCTTATTGAGAACATCAATTGCTAAGCATTTGCTAAACTGAATGTTTCCAAGACTAGTGTGAAGCTACATGGGCTTTAACTTCCTCAATACTCGCTCCAAATTTAACTCCAAAATAGTTGGAAGTTTTTCAAAGCTGACTGCAGTGTAGCACTGCTTGGCATTCTCAGAGCTCTTAAAGAAGTGAGATGTCATCATAGTGTAGTGGAGAGAACAGTGAACTTAAAGAGTCAGATCTGGTTTTAGATACAGGATCAGAGGATTTAGATCTGAAATGGACTTCAGAGATCATCTAGTCCAAGCCCCTTGTTTTACAGAGGGGGAAACACAACTCCAGAGAAGGGAAGTAATTTGCCCAAGGCCACAAAGGGAGTAAGTGAAAGGGCTAGGATTCCAACCCAGACCCTCAGATTCCCAATCTTAGGCTCTTTTCAGAGTCCTGGCTCACCCACTTAACCAATGAAGTGGCCTAGACCTGTCGCCTAGTGTCTTGGAGCCTCAGTTTCCTCCTCTAGAGAGGACAGGAATAACTAATGATGCCTGCCCTGACTCCTTTAAAGAGCTGTTGTGAGGAGCAAATGAGAAAACGGGTATTAAAGAACTCTGGAAACTGGAAAGCAGTAATACACAAATAGGGAAAAATAAATGAGATGTGAAACAGCAGAAAATGAACTGTTTTTTCTTCTGACCCAGACAAAGCTCATTTGAAAATATAGGTTAAAGAAAAGAAGTTTCTTAAAGCCATAGTAGGAATAAGTCAAAAGTTCACATCAAAAGACATTAATCTATTTTCTTTTATCAGCTTTGATTTAAAAATTTGAAAATGACTGGTAATATCTGATGCCTGTTTATCTACAGGGTTTTAGAAATGTTTCATAAGATATGGGAAAAGTACTCTTAATCAGCCAGGAGACCGAATGGGCAAGGTATGAGCTATGGAACTTCTGTACAGCAAAAGCCCATAATTTTTTCTACCTCATCCATATTCTTATCATTGGAGTGCCCAGATGACTGACTGACTGATTATCAATCTATCTATCTGTCTGTCTGTATGTCTGTGTGTGTGTGTATTCACACATACACACACACACACACACACACACAAATTTAGAAGCATTTGTTTTATTCTTAGAAAGGTCATGCTGGTATATCTAGGAGGGAGACAAACATAAAGGAAATTAATGTAGAAAATCCCATTCTTATGACATTAAGATTGAAATCTGAAACCCCTTAAGGATTCCAGCACAATGAGAACAAGGTTAAACTATCCTTATTAAACATTCCATATGTATTCAGGTGTACATTTTACATTACTGGCTTTCAAAAACTTATACCATATAAAATAAAATTGTTAGCTTACATGATTACTGCTTTTACATTTCCCATTTTAATAAACATAGCAGAATTTCCCTACATTTCACTGTGATGTACACATATTTTTAAACTTACGTAATTTAACCAAAACTGTCACAGCCATATACCCTCAACCCAAACTAAACATCTGGGTTAGAGTTCGCATGAAAACAAAAACTCTTCTAGAATACTACTAGAGAGGAATTATCACGAACGATGTCAAAATGAGCAACCTACCCCTAACAAAATTCTCTAATGAAACATCAGGAGACATTAAAAGAAATGGGAAAAAAATAGAGCACACTTCTGATAAAACTATAAAATAATATGGAATGCATGTCTGCGTCTTCATAGCTATTAGTTTATTTAAAACTCTTCGATTAATAAAAAAAATCTGATTTAACAAAAGTCTCTAAAACTGGGGCTGTAACCATAATGATCACCATTCAAAACACTGCTAACCCCTTCCAAAATAACTCTTTGTTGTATGTGTGGCAGGGGAGACGAAGAAATTCAGCACCAATGGCTAGGAAGTACATAGAAGCAGAAAAAGAGAGGCAGCTCAGTGTAGTGACAATGGCACTAGATTCAGAGTTCTTCAGAAGATTTGGTTTCTAATACTAGCTTTGATACTTGCTAGCTAGGTGACATGGACAAACATTTCCCTTCTCTGCGCTTAAGGATCTCCTCTATATCTAACAGAATTGTTGAGAAGAAAGACTCATGGAACTTTAAGTGCTACAGAAACATGAGCTACTAAAGGAGGCCCAGTGGAAAGAGTCAGACACCTGATGACCTGGTGGATTCCAGTCCTGATACTTAGTAGCTGTGTGAAAGGAGAGCTAATGCTTATAGAGTACTTTAAAGTTTGCAGAGTACTTCACAGAGGTTAACTCATTGAATCCTCACGACAACTATGGGAGGGAGGTGCTATTAATAGCCCCATTTTAGAGTTGAGGAACATGAGGCAGATAGAGGTTAAGTGACTTGCCTACAGCCACACAGCTAGTAAATGTTTGAGTCAGGATTTAAATTCAAGTCTTTCTGACTCTGGGCCCAGAATTTTACCTACTACATCACCCAGCTGCCTCAAATATCTACTAACTTCTCTAAGTTTCAGATGCCTCATTTGTAAAAATGTGCTAATAACCTCACAATGTTGGAAAGTGTTTCGTAAACTGTTAAGCATAACATAAATATGAGCTAACATTATATAAATTTAAACTATTACTATTATTACTAAATGCTTTTAGTCTATAACAAATCTTATGTTGGCCATGACAGACGAAGAAGGGGAAAGTAAAAAAGATTACAGTGCAGAAACAAGGAGAAGAGGAAATGACAGTGATCTTAACTGAGCCTTGTAGATGGCTTAACCTGTTAATTAACATGCATTTATTAAATGCTTACTACCTCTAGCCACTGTGATGACTACTTCTTTAGATACCCCTTATCTTCTCATAATGGGCAATGCTCATTTTTGAAAATGTCTTCTACTTTTTTACTCACTGTATGTCATGCCCTACTTTATCATTTATTATTTTATTCTTCCTCTAGCCAATCAAAGTAGATACAGTGTATCCATATAAACAACACAACTTTTCATCTATAATGGTACTACAGAGAGAAGTACACCACTTACCTAGAAGGGGAAAAGCAACCTCTGTTCCCTCATCAGTGCGTTCTGAAAAGGATAAAGAAAAAAAAAATCACAAGTCTTTTCTATCTTTACTATTATATCATCTAGTCCATCCCCAAGCAGTTAATACTGATCCCCAAGCATGCCTGCTACTGCTTTCTCAAGCCTTCTGTTAAATGTCTCCAAAGAGCAGGCTTTAAAAAAATCATCTTTCCCTTTATGGTTAGCCTACACTCTTTTCATTATTTATTTATTTTATTTTTTTAAAGCAAAAGTTTTTTTTTTTTTTTTTTACTAGATTTCTCCTTCGGGCAATTTCAGCCCATTATTCTTAATTATGGCTTCTGGAATAATGCCAACTGATTCCTTTCCTTCTTTGGTATTAACATCCTTCAAATATTTGGAAGCTTATGTTCTCCCTTAATCATCACTTAAGAAAACCATACAGACTTGACTCCTTAAATATTGCCTCATAAGTCATTCCTCCTTGCCCCTTAATTATTCACATTGCTGTTCTCTGAACTCTCTCCAGTTTGTACAAACCTTTTGGGTAATGAAGTGTTCAGAACAGAAAGCAGTATTTCAGGTGTGGTCTCAACAGAGAAGCGGAAAGATAAGCTATATTATCTTTCCTGTTTAACATTTCTGTATATGCCATCCAAAAACCTCATTAGCCTTTTTGCTGCCAAAATGCATTTTAAACAAATATTTCATTTGCTTTCCACCATACCCCTAGGTATTTAGGGGGATTTATAGCTATCCAGATTAATCCTTTATATTAAATAACTGTGCTAGGATTTATTTGTTTATTTTTAAACAGCTACATCAAAATATTTCACTCAAAGATGAATCTCATTTTGCCATTTTTTCTGCACCTGTGACCTTATCTACAGGGATTTGTTTATGATTCTCTCACAGTCTTCCATTACTCACAAACTATGTTAACATACTATCTGTACTTTCCAGATGTTAATGACAGGGCATACTCCAAAAATGATGTGAGTTAGTATTGGAATTCTACTAGAAAGAATAGATAAATATTTATCCTTTCTTTCCTCTTGAATAATCATTAATACCATGAATCCAAAAATACAATTAAACAAACATTTTAGTGTTGACTATGTGCATGGTACTGGGAATATAAATGTAGATACAAGACAGACCCAGCTCTTGAGGAACTTCTAGTCCAATGAGAGTAAAAACCTATTTCCACATAGCTTTGGTAAAAGGGAACATGAGGCAGGTTCAAAGAGAACAGGTGCTTTTCCAGCCTTGGGGCATGACTTTTTTGTCACTCACCAGTGGTGATATACTCAGTGACAAGCTCCGACTCCACCACAGCGATTGACGGACTCTCGGGAGAGCGCCGCTTTTCTTGGGCCATTTGAATAGGAACTGCCATTTGACTCAAGTCAATAGTGGCTTGTCTTGGTTTGGATTCCAGTTTCTCCTTCACTGTTCAAGAGAGTTAGAAGGAATTTCATTTGCAGTTCAGACAAATACCCAAACTAGAGTAGCACCTGGGGATATGGAACAAAAATTTTCTGGAGGAAAGTTCTAGAAGCTACTCAGGCAGTGGATAAATAGGGAAAGATGACTTGCCAGTGAAAAGAACAAACAAGGCCTCCTCTCCCTTCTCCCCTGCTACTACCTATTAAGCAAAGCATGTTGAAGAAACTGGGCCATTTAGTCTAGAGGAGAGAAAATTTAAGGAGAGAATGAACCTGATTCAAGTATTCAAGCAGTCACAGGAAAAAGAGATAACATTTATTCCAACTGACTCCAAAGGGTATAAAGAGGAGCAATAGGTACAAGTTGTAAAGAGGTAGACATAGTCTCAACATAATGAAAACCCTCCTAATAACTTAAGTGTAAGTGCTATCAAAAAATGGAATGGGCTGATGGGGAGGCAAAAGGGGCTCCCCTCTGATGACAGATTTGGGATCATTTTGTCCAACACCCTCACTTTACAGATAAGGAAACTGAGGCTCAGAGAGATTAAGTTATTTGCCCAATGTCATAGGGGTTGTAAGGAACACAGGCAGGATTTCAGTCTAGGTCCTCTGATTATAAATGTAAAGCTCTTTCATTATATTTACACTTCACTTTTTAGGTAGGGGCTGGAAGGCTATTTGCTAGGGATATTATAGAGTGTATTCCTACTTAAGGTACAGTTTGAACAAGATAACCTCGGAAATCTACTCCAACTCTAAGACTGCATGGGACTGCTTCTGGCTTTTCATAAGTACTCCTTATGACACAATCTGTTATGATTTTCTTCCTTTTTAGGTCTTCCTTGGATATCTGTTCTTGATTGTATTTGGCTAAAATGCTAGGGAACAAATAGATGAAATTTACCTCAGGCCACAGTTTTTTGGGATGACCTTAACCTAGACCTGTTCTCCTAAAACCTAAAAACCAGCCTCAAAAACAAACAAATAACAACTCAATTTTTCACATAATAGTATGTGTCAATGAATAAAATATACGGCAATAAGAGTAACAGGCATCTCTGTCCTGTAGAAAGTTTTGTAGATGCAGCTAGAACCAGGAAAGAAACGAAGTAGAAAAAAGCCTCAGTGGGTAGGGGTATGTTCCCCTCGACCCAGGCCTATCCACTGGGCTTTGTGTAATAGGAAAACAAAGTATGGGACAGAGTCAGGAGAGCTGGGTCTGAGTCTCAGCTCTGCTCCTAAGTAGCTGTTTACTCAATTTCTCTGGGAATAATAATGTTCACACTACATCATGAGTTTGTGGTGAGAATCAGATTATATAAAGGAAACAAGGTGTTCTCTGAGTATACAGCACTATACAAATGTAAGCTACTTTTATCATTCTAAATCTGTGCTTAGGAACTTGGACTAGGAATGGTGTAGGGCTAGATAAGGTGAGGAGAAATCAATAAACTAGTGAAAGGGATTGTGTCAGGTAGGGTCATCCCAGAACAGATAAGGGGTTATAAAGTCTTGTTCTAGGCAAGGAATTTGGAGCCAATCTATACACAGTTGGTACTCAACAAATAGTAAACAATTATGACATGGCCATTCTTGAGGTTTCCTCAGTGACTACTCCCTGTGTTGACCAAAATACAGCACTCTTAAGCTCAGAAGACCATCTCTGTGAAGTGCTGTGGCCAAATACAAACTCCCCAACATACCCAGTCTATTGTCAGGCTTACGATCCCTGTCTTTCTAACTTGGCAGGTCCGTAAGACCTTGTGGATCATGCGCACAGCCTTCATGAAGACGGGATGACCCACTGTGCCACAAGGAGGCATCAGAAGACTCTGGAGGCCCAAGAATACAACCTACATTAAATTAAACTAACCTCACAGAATTTTAACCCAAAGGACTTATTGGATGCTTAGTGAATACAGAGAATCCTCTCTATAATAAGACTCAACAGACTTAGGATTCAATATAACCTGATGCTGCACTAAAACCTTTAGTAACCGAACAATGTTTCACTACTCAAACTACTGGAAGGCCCTCCTTTGTCAGAGTTCTATTGCATGGATCCAGAAGAGTGTTTACATCAACAATACAATTTCTCTGCCATAACCCTAAAACACAGACAAACTGGAGTCTGAAAACTAACAAGTTAGTATGGGCAGAAGAGGGATTAGAATTAGTCTGCTTAACCTTAAGAGGGCAGTCCTAGAACAAATGGGGGAAATTAAATCAACCAATCAACAAGCATTTATGAATCAACAAGCCCTCACTATGCACCGGATGCTGCCCACAAAGACCAAGATGAAACCGTCCCTACACCCTCAAAGAGTTCATACTCTACCTGGAAGAGAGAGGAAGGCAGATTTCAGTTCAATATAAGGAACAATGTTTTGACAATCAGAACTCTCCAACAAGGGGATGAGTGACCCTGGCAAGAAGGGAAGTACCTCATGCTTGAGGTCTTCAAGTGGAAACCATCAATCAAATAGGCTTTGCAAATCTCAGGAAGGGGTAGGGCTAACCAGACCTCTCCAGTGCCTCTCCACCATGAGCCTAGGCTGTGAGGCAGAGGCTGCTACGGATGCAATTTTAAGACTTCAAAATGGCTCAGCTAACACCAGAAAAGAGGGGAGGAGACCCTCCATTCCAACTGTCCTAAATCCAATGCCCACAGTAGACAGGTTCCTCAGCGTTTTGGAATATATTAGAGTTGTCATGTTGAGCAAGAAGGGGAGAGAAGAGTTTTACTTTTTCCTTTCCTCTGTCAATAATTCTGTTCTTTGTTCCTTTAGAGAACCTGCCCATGCCAGAGACAAACAGGTTGGATCAACGATGACAGGTGAGTACAGGAGAATGAAATTTGCCCAAGATGCAACAATGAAAATATGGAATTAGTAATATGTGAAGATAATCAATGAAGAGATGATGTTCATTCAAGGTAGCATGTGGATTCATACCTGTTGTCTGCTGAAGTTCTAAGAGAGCTTTGATTGTTGAAGTAGCTGACTGCGATTCACTGGATACATCCTGATAAATTATGGTAGGGCTAGTCTCCATTGCAATCTCATGTTCTGACCAATCCTGACGCCGGGAAGCAATTACATGAACTACAGGCTGGGAATCTGTTTCATATTAAGTTATAAAAACAAAACAAAAAAATCTTCATAAACAAAGATTTTTGTATAAAATTATTGGGTTTTTTAACTTTTTTTGTTTTACCTTGATGTTAGATGCAAATAACACAGAACAGATAAACAATATTATAAATTATAAAGCTAACTTAGGGTTCACTAATCTTACCTCATACTATATATGTGCATGTGTGTGTCTGTTTATATATACACATATATAGACATATGTGCATAACAAATTATTTTTATATTACTGAAATCTTTCCCTGTTTCTGAAAATGACTTGTGCTTGAGAAGCAATGAAAGATGTTATTAGGATATGTCTGGCCAAAAAAGAAGGGCTGATCACGTAATGATAAAACAATAGTTGGCCTTAATGAGAAAATGGCACTCTGAAGATACAAAAAGAACCACAAGAAGGAATCCAGCAGATTGTGGGGATGCTCTATGGAAGATTTAACAATGAGAGCTGTCTGGCAGTAAGCATACAGACAAGAGTTAAACAGAATGAGGTAAATGGAAAGGTTATTAGAAGTGAGATTATAAATCCATAAAAATATTGAAAATTTTTACTGAATAGATATCAAAATTAATCAACAGTTCTTAATTAAATGTTTCTTCTGGGAGAAGTAGAAAGAACACAGGACTGGGGCTCTACCACCAATTAGTTACAAGACCATTAGCAAGTCACTTACTTCTCTGTGCCTCAAGACATCTCTAAAACAAAGGGATAGGACTAACTGATCATTCAACCTTCTTTAAGATTGAAAATTATGTGATCTATGAGATGAAAGTATTGGGCTAAATAAGCTGTAAGGCCCCTTTGGGCTATAACATTCTACAGTTCTATAATTCTGTACTATGTATAAGGCACCATGCTATATCAAATACAGAAAAGTGCAATGCATATCTCCTAACCCTTGGGAATGCAACTCCTCCTCAACTGTGCCCCGAGAGCTACCACATGAGGGCACCACAAAGTTTTCAACATCTGTCAGACGCTGAGTGAACAACTATTTGGAAGAAGTTCATAGTTTTAACATTATATTACACTATGTTCCTTTCAATGATGTTTTTGAGTGAGATATGTTTTCGTTTACTTGTACTTTTGCTATGTCAATAACTTCTCAAACTTTTTTATTTGCTACATCATATCTTTGTTAAGCTGGGTTTTTAGCAGCTGCTGTAATAAAAAGCAAGTACTGCATGAAATCAATGAGGAACAGCAAATGAGGGTGGCGATGTTCAATCTGATTCGTTTAAGAAGTTGAGCAGTGTCCAACAGATGCTCATATCCCAGTAGTAATCATGTTTAAGAATGAAAGAAAAATATTATTTTTTCTTTCAATTTGTGTGCGTTATTTTTTCAAAGAGTTACTGAATTGTTAGGACATAAATATTTATTAAGTTGTTTGGCCCCAAGTACTTAATAAATAAAACAGGCATTTCTTTTGGCCTAGGCGCACTGTAAAAAATTACCAAAACACTAAAGGGAGCCAGAAACCAAGAAAGTTTGGGAATTTCTCCTCTAGGAACTTACAGCATAGTACAGAAGATAAAACATGCACACATAAGGATACCTAAAAATACATGACATCAAGTGGTAATCAGTCAGTTAACATTTATTGAACGCCTATATGCTAGGCACCGTTTCAAGTGCTAGGGATACAAGGAAAAGAAAAAGGTTAACTCTTGCTCCCAAGGAGCTTTCAGTCTGATGGGAAAGACAATATGTAAATAACAATATAAGCTATATACAGGTTAAACTGGAGATAATCAATAGAGAGAAGGTTAAAGGGGATTGGGAAAAGTTTCCCATAGAAGATGGGCTTTTAGCTAGGACTCTGAAGCAAACCAGAGAAGACAGGAGGCAGAAATGAGGAGGGAGGAAATTCCAGGCATTCATTTACTAACTGAGGCAGCAAGGTGTCATATAGTTGCTAAAGTGCTGAACTTGGAGTCTGGAAGACCTGAGCTCAAATCCTGACTCAAACACTTACTAACTCTGTTGTTCTGGGCAAGTCACTTAACATTTCTCAGTCTCAGTTTCCTCATCTGGAAAATGAAGATAATAATTACACCTACTCCCAGGATTGCTGGGGAGTAATAATTGATAGCATATGTAAAGCGCTTTGAAAATCTTAAAGTGCTCTACATAAATGCCTGTTTGTTATACTTGTTCTTATATGCAAAATACTATGTTATCTCCGAGGGAGCTATAAAGTTTCGATAAGACTTAGTCCTTGCCTTTCATAGAGTTCATAGTCAAACAAGATACAAGATACAAACAGAGATAACTAGAATGCTAAATATCACATGCTAGATACATGGAGTTGCAAACAAATTGCCATGTGAAGTCCTAGGAAGAAGGGTCCAAAGGGGTCACACACAGTGTGATCTAATGTTAAAACTATGAACTTCTTCCAACTAGTTGTTCACTCAGTGTCTGACAGATGTTGAAAACTTTGTAGTGCCCTTATGTGGTAGCCCTTGGGGCACAGATGAGGAGAAATTGCATTCCCAAGGGGCAGGAGATATGCATTGCACTTTTCTGTATTTGATGTAGCATGGTGCCTTACACATAGTACAGAATTATAGAACTATAGAATGTTATAGCCAAAAGGGGCCTTACAGCTTATTTAGCCCAATACCTTCATCTTATAGATCACATAATTTTAAGGGAGGGCATCATGTTAAAAAAAAAAAGTACTATTTTAGTTGATCTTGAATGGATGAGTAGGAATCCAATAAGCAAAGGGAAGGAAAGAAAATATTCCCAGTACAGGGACAGGAGAGTTTGAGCACAGAAGTAGGGCAGGGCACTAAATGTTTGGAGGGCAGAGGTAAGGGGTGGAAGTAGCAAATAGTAGAATGAATCAGTGATATTCCATTCAGCATACTTAAATGGTGAATCTCAAATTGGCACAGAAGTATTATTCTGAAGTGGAAAATGCCATTCTCATTGGTGGCCATGATGAAGTCAGAAGTTCTAAACCTCAAAAGAAAAAGGAAGTGGGTTCAATCCAGAGAACAGTTGCTAAAGATAAGAGTGTAGAAGCTAAGCACTATTGAGATTGGGGAGAGGGAGAGGGAGAGGGAGAGGGAGAGGGAGGGAGAGAGAGAGAGAGGGAGAGAGAGAGAGAGAGAGATTTCCTCTGGAGTATTATCTCTGAGTTCATATATTTTCTTTTTCCTTAAAATAAACCCTAGAAATGTACTCTCATTGTTTAGATTGCGTAGAAATGACAGAAGAAAAGAGGGAACAGATTTCTGATTTGGGCATCTGGTTATGATGAAAAGATGAAAGAACAGGGAATTAGGAATCTAGTGCAGCAGTTCTCTGAACCCAGGCAACCAAACCTCTGGGGTCAGAAGGTTTGGGGGCCTTGGTTTGGGGCTGAGAAATCTGGGAAGATTCAGAAATTAGTAAAGGAGAAAGCACTGGGACCTGGGGTAAGGACCCATGAATGGTTCCAAGAAGGAAGTAGAATCCCTGGGAAATTCAATTACACCATCAAGACCTAAGGGGGAAGGGTTGAATGAGAGGTGGGCTTTACGTGGGCCTTGAAGGAATCATGGGATTCAGATAAGCAAAAAGGAGACAGATAAATTAGCTCTATCCCACATGAGCTGACTTTAGAATCAGGTCACGGGGACGGAATATTTAAAAAAAAAAAAAAAGAATGGCAAACTTTCAATCCTCTAAGTACCGTTTATTTCTGAAAACCACAAAGTTCCCAAAAGAGGGAAAGAGGAGATAGAAAGACACCGAAAAATTAAACAAAATCAATACATAATGGGGTCTGGAAAATGTAATTATAGTTTGAAAGAGTTCTTTCTTATTTAAAGAATGTATTTTTTTTTCTATAACACTCAAATATCACATACTCTCCTCTGAAGATATACAACTTCCCTTTATTTGCAATTTTGAAATTATGTGCCAATAGAGGAGAATGAAGTTTACAATCAATGCTAATGGTCAGTTCTGAGTTCCATGTGTAAAATATAATTCATATCAATTCTTCTAAGTAAACTGAATATACAAAATTCCAAAGAGAGAACCAATAATACAGGGATCATAGGTTTTATATCTATAACTTTACTCAGAGAACTACTAATTAAATTCTTAGATTTTACAAATGGAAAATTGAGGCCTGAGCTTGACTGACTTGCTCAACAATATCTATTAAATAGCAGTCAATATTCAAACACAGATCCTTTTACTTTAAATCCTGGGCACTTTTTAAACTACATCATGGCTAATTCTTTTCATATAAGTCTAAAATCTCCAACCGCTGGAATGTTCTGACTAATGTACTTAATATATTTAATGGCAGTACATGGTGATACCAAATGGCAAAGGGTGAGATTTATAGTCCAACTGGAGAAGATGCTATAAATACCCAAACAGAAGGAAATGGAAGGAGAACTGAATCATTAGTGAAATAGTGGGAGAGAAGAAAAGGATAGGAAATCTCCACATCAAAAAATATTTTTAAAAAGGTCATAATGCCCAAATGAAATCTGGCATTCTTTTCCTCAGCAAATGCTGAATTACAAAGAATACATAGAGAATACTATAACCAACTCAAGAGTCACATGTTAAAAGTCATTACTTTTCTCTGAACATATGCCATCTTGTCAGTGAGAATGATGAAGGGATTTGGAACCATGTCAAAAGAGATCTTACTGAAGGGACTATGGATGGGTGTCTAAAGAAGAGCACAGTAAGGGGACACAGAATAACTACTTTCAAACATCTTAAGATCTGTCATGACGAAGAGGAATCAGACTTGTTCTGCTTAGCAATGGAAGAAAATGGAGAAGAGGGAGAAGTTACACAGAAATAGATTTCAGCTCAATACCACCAATACATACTCCCTAAGAACTAAAAGCTCTCCAAAAATAGAAAGGGCTGCCTCAGGGATGAGTTTCCCATTGCAAGAAGTTTTCAAATAGCCACTGGAATACTGCTTGTCAGAGGTATCATA